AATGTTATCCTATTGAGAAAGTGTATGATTACCTACTGTTAGCCTGATAAGGAAGTGTCTCCTTATGTAATGTTATCCTATTGAGAAAGTGTATGATTACATACTGTTAGCCTGATAAGGAAGTGTCTCCTTATGTAGTGTTATCCTATTGAGAAAGTGTATGATTACCTACTGTTAGCCTGATAAGGAAGTGTCTCCTTATGTAGTGTTATCCTATTGAGAAAGTGTATGATTACCTACTGTTAGCCTGATAAGGAAGAAATGTTTGAATACAACTAATATGGCTATGCTGACTTCAAGTAAAATGACAACTTTTAGAACGTTAACGTGCTGAGAAAGTTAGTAAGTTTGCTGATAAAGTGCTTACATATTATTTGTTTGGTGAATAAGTGTTTGAATACAAATATTACGACTATATGCTAATTATCATACTGAATAGAATATTTGCTTCGATAGCATTAACTTGCAAAGAAAGTGTTCTGTTTACATACTGCTAGCCTGCTGAGAAAGTACTTGCTTAGATACTATTAGCCCGCTGAGAAAGTACTTGCTTAGATACTATTAGCCCGCTGAGAAAGTACTTGCTTAGATACTATTAGCCCGCTGAGAAAGTACTTGCTTAGATACTGCTAGCCCGCTGAGAAAGTACTTGCTTAGATACTGCTAGCCCGCTGAGAAAGTACTTGCTTAGATACTGCTAGCCCGCTGAGCTCAGCAGGCTAGCAGTATCTAAATATTTTCTCAGCAGGCTAGCAGTATCTAAGCAAGTACTTTCTCAGCAGGCTAGCAGTATCTAAGCAAGTACTTTAAAGTACTTGCTTAGATACTGCTAGCCTGCTGAGAAAGTGTTTACGTTGACTCAGCATAATCCACTAATAGCATATTTTGACGAGCTTCAGGAAAAACAAGATTTGCTAGTATATTTTTTGGATTACTTAGCATGATGATTTATTTACTTTGATAATAATGTTTTAATCATTCACCAAATGACTTAAGGAAAACATTAATTCTGCCTATACGTAAGTAATCTGTGCGACTCTTACCAGCTATGGGGAGGGAGGGGGAACGTCCTCTTGGAAAATTTTGATAAAATAATTCGGTAATTTAAAGATATTAATTACCCCCTCCCCCTCTCAGCTGGAAACGTGTTGCTAGTATGTGCATGACAGTTGTTTAAAGAAGTTGGTAGACGCATATTTCATGTATCTAGTATTAGGAAAATTTCTAGCTATGTCACTGATTCGTATCGTAGGAACATTCGTCGGAAGACTAGATGTTATAGTCTAAAAATGTCCTAAAAAAAACACTAACCTCTGTTTCTCACAAACTACGCACAGCCATTGCTTCCCGTCGTCTCTGTATTGCCTGCACGACTTACATACTCTCTTTTTGCAGGCTGGACAGAGGGCGCCACGATTGATTATTCGACCGAGCTCGGCCAGACAACGAGAACAAGCACGTGTAGAGTCCAGGCCAGGTCGTAGTACCCCTCTCTTCCTGAGTCGCTGTATTTCTGTCCGCAACTGGCTGTTGAACACAAAATCAAAATGTTATGAGAAAATATTGTTAGATTCAAGTAAAACAGGTTTTTGACGAGAAAATGGGTAAAAATAAAACGATACTATGCCACGTAAGAAACGAATGTGGACTTTTGCTTGAGCATTCGTGCAAATCTTACTTTGTTAATCATTAACCTCGGAGAAACTCAACAAGTTTGGGTTCAAACATACTCACCAAAGGTCAAGTAAATTAGTAAACGATGTTTAAGAATTTAAGTAAAAACGTTGAAAATATTATCCGAATTTAAGTAAAAACGTTGAAAATATTATCCGAATTTAAGTAAAAACGTTGAAAATATTATCTGAATTTAAGTAAAAACGTTGAAAATATTATTTGAATCTAAAATCAAAACAATAATTTTGTACTTTTACAATAGTCACAACAAAGAAAGAACGAAATTGGAAATCTGTTATCATTGTTAAGTTAAAAGTAAAACAATTCCGACTGTTAATAAGAATTAGACGATACCGAAATAATTATAACACAGATTACGATCCTGGAGTTGGTACTCGCTTTGAATTTCCTGGATTTATCCTTTTTACTGTAACGTGAAATAATTTCTAAAAGTCCTCAATTCTAAATGAGGTATTTTCTTCCCATACCAAACATTTTAAAGAAAGACATACTATACATTCTACCAAGATCGACAACAAACGATAATCATTTTTTTTATTCAACCATTCATACGGACTCCATCTAGTTTATCGACAACTGGACTAAAGTAAAACTATATGGCTCCGTCGTCCGACTGAGCGAATCATCTTTCCAGATGTTTCTAGAATGTATTTTTCCCACGACGGAAGACACCTCCAGGCAATGTTGCGAGATACCTTACTTGAGATATGAGCGCAGGTCGTCCTCCGCTTCTGTTTTGACAAGTAGCAACCCTAAACAAGACTCTCCAAAAAAAACATAAGCTGTTGTGTTTATTAACATAAAACCAATCATATTATATTATCCCTCCAGTGATAAATGCGATGCTCATGAGCTGGCACTTGAGTCCCTACTAGAGAAATAGCAAGTGTTTATACTGGTTTTGAAACTCAGCTCTCTAGAAATTACCCTTTTTTTAAAAAAAAAAGCTCTGTTCAACAATTCTTTTTCACTTAATGTTTAAAAAACGACAAGAAAATAATTTTTAAATAGAAAAATATAGCCCTGCTTTACCCTGTAAACAAAATATTATGATTTAAAATAAGTGTTTGTTTTGAATTAAAGAGTTCTGCTCCTCCTAAGAAATTTTAACCGTTTAATTTAATGAATAGCACAGCTAGCTGATCGGAAACATATGACTTGAAATTATTGTCAAGGTAATTAAGAAAGCATTGCATTTACTGGTCAGTTTTAAAAGCCATTAAGGGAGCTTGAAATATAAAATTTCTACGTGTATTTTATTTTTAACATAAGAATGGGGGAGGGAGGCTCTGTGAAAGCAGTATTATCACTGTTCAAAAATGTTAATGGTTGTTTACAGCTTTGGAAACATCTAATTTCCTTTTCTTTATCATCTTAGGTGTTTTTATCCGATACATTAGACAATGCCACGACCATAAAACACAAAAGACAGTGGTATGATGGGGGCACGTACAATGAAACGTTAGTACTGTAATGGGAATTATACCCCATCGTTTTTCGAAACCTTCCAAAGCCCATTTATCTCCTGGTCTTCACAACTGGTTCGAATAGTTAAATGGCACAGTAATCCAAAGGTAATGTTTTAGAAACTCACTAAGGTATTATTGAACACGAATAGGTCTAAGTCCGGTGTTCTATCTCTTACATAAACAAGCATGTATTTTCACGGGTGTTTCTGTTTCTTGTCATTAGTGCTTTTAGAAAGCTTTAAGATAGCCCGTTCAATATATTCCACTGATCGCTCTTGTGCAAGGATATAATAAAATCAGTTGACGACTCCAACGTCTTTAAAATGCTCATTCAGACAAAATATTATTTGCAAAATGTACATGTACATTTACTTGAGTATATAAATGACATTTCGTGCTTTTCTTGTCTCCTGAAAATGGCGGAGCATGTTCCATCGAAACATGTAGAGAGGTTTTGGTTTTTATATTGCTTTTATCTTTATACAATAAATTATTGTGCATTTTTAAATTGTTGTTTGAGTCGTCAACTGGTTTTATTAGGTAGCCCATTGTGTAGCTTTGTGCTTAACTGCAAACACACGAAAGAAGGTAATTACAGACGCTGACAAAGTTTACCTTTACTGTGAGTATTTTGAAAAGTTATTTTTAGGAACTAGTTTTCAAGGCAAAGGAACAGTAAATACCATACAAATCTTGGTTTAGCTGTATGTGTGTGTATCACGTAGTCTGTGTTTCATTCTTGTGGTAAAATTTCTTTTTTCACTAACCATTTGAAAATTGTTATGCCTTCTTAAATTAACATTAACAGAGAAGAAATATTATTGAAGGAGCCAATGGGTGAAGTTAACTTGACTTTGGTACGATGACAAATCTTTATAAGAACAGTTGATGCTCGTTTAGGACATTGATAAGAAACTCGTTAACCCTAAAATTAACAATGGGCTCCCATACTCCATCGGCTTTCTAAACGCATTTTTTATAACGATGCTTGCACACCACACTGCTTGTGGGTACACGTCTTTATCGGTTACAGGGTCCCTAACAAAATATGAATCATAAAACTAAACAAAAACATCATGGACACTACAATTAATGTGACTAACTGTTGTGTGTTGTGAAAACAAAACATGATTCATTAGAGAACGGCATAAACTAGGCAGTAATTAGAAGATTAGTAGCCACAGCCATTACAAAATACAAGCTTTTCAAAGGTAGCGTTTGTCTGTTCCAGTTTTTCGCACAAACCTACACAATGGGCTATTCGCATTAACCGTCTTTAACTTTGAACTGATAGACTAGAGGGAAAGCAGCTAGTCAACAACATCCATTGCTATCTCTTGAGATACTATAAACGAATAGTGGGATTTGATTGTCATTCATATGACGAACCCATGACCCCAAAATCTCGGTACGCAATTTTTGTTGTTGCTGAAACTGGACTCGAATCAAGGAATTTTGGGTCCACAGCCCGGAACACTAAGCTACGCCTGGCCCTTTTCAAAGGTAGAACAAACTCGTATAACGAATGAAGAAATATAATATCATTATAATAATAGAAAGTTTTACTGGGAGGGCAAATTATTTAAATATATATATATAACGGTGTTATAAAATAAACATTTTTTGTATCGCACTTTTGTAACTGTAAAGCTATTATCTGACAATGCAAGTTACAAATAATCACACGTACATCTCGTGAATACAATCTCTTATCAATTGTAAAATCCTGGAACTTAAAAATACAAGTTTGGCGTCGTATTTCTCTATGTCAGCTTTTAGAACCTATACACACACAGACATCAATTAAAACCTAAATTCGTGTTAAATGTTAGTTTTAGCAATCATCATTAGAAAAGCTCACACATTTGAAACAGCTCTGCTGTACCGGACGTAGCGAATCAAGGAATAGATTAGGCCTCTACGTCATCTCTTCCCTCCTCCACTGAAACTTATGTTTTGGTAATGAAGAGAAATTACCAACTAAATAAATAGCCAGTTAGGCCACTGAACAATAATGGATAATTAATTATC